CGGTTCCAAGACACTAGGGCTTGTTCATCCTGTGACCTCATGATACACCCTAACATCCCGGGAACCAGCGCTGTTCCTTTCCAGGAGGAAAGTCCCAAATGCAAGCCAGGGACTGGCTGGTAGATAGAGAGCTGGGGAACTGGACGTGGGTGATCTTACAGGGTTGCACGGATAAATTGGATGACCTGTGTGTCTCCCCCCATGTAAGGAATTGATTTCTTATTAAGAAACGGCATATGGGGAGACACTGGACTAGAGCCAGCCACCAAACTGCACTGTCTTCGAAGCTGGACCTAGATATTTTGGCAATTATGATGGGAGAAGCTGGGTGGTGGTTATCCCAGCAACTCAGGAGGCTGAGGCAGGAGGATCATAAATTTGAGGCCAGCTGGGGTAGTTTAGTGAAGTCTCATCTCCAAATAAACAATTGAACTCAGGAGCATTTGCTCATTGAACTACATCCCCAGCCCTTTTCATTTTTTATTTTGAGTCAGGGTCTTGCTAAGTTACTTAGGGATCCTTCTGCCTCAGCCTCTGCCGCTGCTGGGATTGAAGGTGTGGGCCACCGCACCCAGCTAAGTGATGAGTGTGATCTCGCTGAGGTAACTGGCTCCGTCCCTTTAGTAAGAGACCCTTGGGCACAGGGATGCGGCTCTAATTCACACTAGTCAATCATAACACTCTGTCTCCGTGGAACCAGGGATTGGCCTAGGGCCCAGTGGTTGAACCCGGCAGAGCCAATCAGACTTGATTAACACAGAGATATTGGGTTTACAAAACTGGAGGGATAGGTGATCAGGTTCCTCATTACATAGAGAGGCCCTGCTATGCCACAGCAAGAGGGGAGCTGACGTGGAAAGAGAGACACACAGCCCGAGAGAAGGATGGATGGATGGATGACGACGGAGGAATGAATGGCGTTGAATCCCCGTTCTGGCCCTCAAGGGTGTGGTTCGTGGATTTGGTGAATGATGGCAGTGACCTTATGCCCTGTAGCAGCCACACCCCTTTGGCTTTGGTGAACTTGGGTTGAACTTCTGTCTGAGAGCCGAAAGATCTCCATTAATAGAATTAGAAATGGTGGAGTCAAGTCTTAACTCCTGTGTCACAGCCATTTTCCAGTCTTACAAGTTGATCTTTTAAAATGTCTTTCTGGGGATCACTTCCTCATGAGTAATACCCTATAATTTTAAAAACCACCGCTTACACTTCTGAGTCACCTGGCTTTTTCTGAAACTGCCTCTAGTCTTTTTCTGAGACTTAGGACGTTCCCTGGCTTTATCAAGATGCAGTAAAACATATTTCTCAAGTTGGGTGTTTCTGGGAAGGTGGTTAATCACCCTGATTTATGTGGATTTCTGTTAGCCCTAGTTTCACCGGAGACACTGTCCTTTCTTGGCTCTCTGTTCTGGCCAATGGCGGAGCCTGGCTTGAGACTCCAGCCTGCCTGACACCCAGACCCGTGTACTTGCTGGGACGGCAGCCAGCCCCTGGCTGCGGGGAGGCCACGAAGAATCGGTAGCCAGTTTGGAAGCGTCCCAGGCTCTCTTGAGTCAGTTGTCAGGTGACAGAACTCAGGGACTAAGGGCCTTTGTACACTGACATTCCCTAAGGAATGGTGAGCTGGGGAGACGGCAAGTTCCCGATTCTGGTGCTTAGTGGTACAGGGAAAAATGTTCCAGAAAGAAAGGTCATGCTTTTAAAAGTTTTTATTTTTATTTTTTTTTCCGGCCAGGAGATTGAATGTGACAGTGAAATATTAAAGTTGAACGAGTTTTTGTTTAAGCTACAAAGCATAGTTTCCTTGGTGACAACAGAATGTAATAAATAATCCTTTAATGTATACACAAGGTGACTGTAACCTATGGGGTAGAAAACCATATTTCGTGGGACTCATTTTAAATCATATTCGTTAATTAGCGATAACATAGGCATTAAACTCTAAGTTTGTAGTGGCAAATGAATGACTGATCTCAAATGTTAGCTAAAAACAAGTCCCTAATTTTGAAAGAGAATAAAATAGAAAGGAGATGAACTGTGATTCCTGGAG